ATATAAATATATATATACATATATATATATGTATATATATTTATATTTATATATTTATATTTATATTTATATATTTGTTATACATATATTTGTCAAGTCTTATAGAACTAATAAAAAGCAAAAACAGTATCTATGGTGCATTGCGCACAAAAATTGCTGCTCGATTTATTCTCACTCAATATGTAGAATATGCGCAATTTATTCTTGCAATGTCGAAAACAAGAACAGACGTCCGGTGCACGAGTACTTGAACGCTCTGCTGTCTAGATTTAGTCGCTTTCATTTAATGCGTCTATTTTTTTTTCTCTTCATTATTTACACAATAATCACTTAAACCGATTTTATCCCGATTTCTGTCACAGTTGCTTTGTCACTTCTTGCGGTTTCTCTTTCTCTCTCTCTCTTTCTTTTCCTCTGTTTTTCACTCAATAATAATTTTTCATTAGTTGTCACGACCACAAGCGCGGTAATCTCCGAGATGGCTAGTGTGCAAATTAGAACAGACACCTGGTATAAGTCACAGTCTTTGCTTAATATAGCTTTGCTATATTAGCTTTGAGAGTAGAAAATTCTTCATTAAACGAGTATGGAAATTTGCATCGAGCAAAAACAATAAAATATTTTTGAAATTATGCAGTTATCTTTCATCATCTCTCCCACAAGAAGACGTTTAAAATGTTTCTTTATCACGTGCAAAAAAGAAACTGAAAAACAAAACAAATAAATAAAATTTCACGCTTTACGTAGTCTGATATTAAAACTTTCTTAAAAAAGTACAATGATTTCTTACCTATACATTTTGAAAGAGTTGATATTCTTGGATCAAAAAATGTTGAATTCTAAAAAAGTCGGTTCTATAATATTTTAGTTTATAAAAGTAGCACATATTTTTTCGAATTTCTAGATAGAGGAAAAATATGAGTGTATTTTTGTTATATATCGCGATGGATATGAAATACTGGATTGGAGAGTATGTACGTATACAACATGAATAGAATTTTATTTCGCGACGGTTAGGTTTTTGTGTTGTAACATGAGAGAACTTGATAAAGTCGCGATAAAACCGCAAACACAAATACGGTAAACGGGTAGATGTGTTCTCTGAATCACGGTCGAGGTATCGATCGCATTGATACCTCGAGCATTTTTCAAACCACTGCCCTTGATACGCGAAAGAGGCCGAAAGCGCTTGTATGTGTGTACATCACAGTACAGTTATAGTAGTAGTAGTAGCATTTCGAGGATAGGTAGGTTAATCCAGTTGCAGTGCGCGTCCTTGAAATCCGCGCCCGTCCACCACCGCTGGCTCTATCGAACCAGCCGGGCCAGAGGCAGGAAGTAATCTCAGTGTCAAGGTCGGAGAAATCCGCGTCTCGCTTGTTGACTTGAAAATCAACCCAAATACACACATTTACGTGCACCGTCAATGTCAGCGCAGAGCGAAATCACGAGCGCGGTTGCGTCATTTGCGAACAAAAAAATCATTGTGAAAAAAATTAAATTGTTTTATTAAGAAGAAATTTATTAACTCCTAAAAGTAACGTTATGACTAATAATAAAAATCAATGAACAAAATTTAAATAAATTTTTATCCGTTTACTTATAAGTGTTCAAACTTTTTTTAACTTCGCCGATTGAGAAAAGTTGAACACTCGCTAAACAAATACAACGTATGATGATGATGTTTTCGAGAAGAACGCAAAATGATGGTGAGAGAACATCGATGTAAAAGTTAATAATCCTTGTAATTTGTCCTTCTCGAAGAGTTGATTATTTCCGGAAAAGTCTAACGAGGATATGTTGGTATCATACATAACGTAACCCTGATGTCTCTTAGATGTATTGAGTACTTTTTCCTTGTTATTCATACACATTCACACATATTCATTTAAAAGAAGTAATTATTGAATATTTCGCGTGCAGAAATGTGTGAGGGAGATCCAAAAGAGTTTGACTCTTAAGGACGTTCTCCGAATTATTGATTTTCTTAGGATTTTCTTTAAATTCGCGATATACATAGTTTATGATCTTACTTATACGTAGCCGTTTTGGATAATAGGGGTAGCAATGTTAATTTCAAAATACGGAAGATTTATATTTCAATTTTTAACATGAATTTCCTATGCTGAGCCTTTGTGAAATGGGGTTTTTTTTAAAATTACTGACGACAATTTTCTCTTAGGATTTTTTTAAAAAACAAGTATGTGATAGCGGAGAGTGTCCTAATTAAAATACGATTTTGAATAATACGGCAAGCAACCCTTTTTTTCAAACTGTAGCTTTTTTTGGTTTTTTTTTTGTTTTGCTGGATTTATGTGCGCTGTGTACTGCGGGTATTTTTGAACTTCTGCGCAGAGTAAGCGAGTCTTAGCAGTGCTGAACAGCTCAACTTAACTTTGTTACAGCAGTACAAACTTACTCACGAGAAGAGATATTTTAGGTTGCCAACCACTGTATTTAGGTTGCCAACCACTGCAGTCGGAGAACGTCTTTAAAGCCAACGTGTGAAGGTTTTACGTTGAAGGTTTAATTTCTATAAAGAGATAAATTGGTGATTAATATTTCACACATATGCGATCCAAATCAACAAACGTTCTATGTGAAGTTTAGAATTAAATTTAATTTGAATTTTTACGTGAATTATAAATTACACGTTTAAGAAAAGTTAATATAAAAAAAAAAAACAAATATATTTGTAATTGCACATACATTCAACATATCGGTTTGTATCGATCCGAATACTTAAATTTTCACAAGCTTTTACATTGTTGAAATGTAACACATGTGTGTGTGTGTGTGTGTATGCAAATCTAAAAAAGAATTTAATAGACAAGATCGATAATGTGTCCTTACAGGTGACTAACGATCCAGCGGAAGTAAATGTCTTTCTTCTGGATGGATCGTTGATCGATGAGGAGTATTTTTACACACTGGAGCCACAGACTACTTTAATTTTGCAAAAGCCAGGAGAGAAAGTGTTAACCGGTTAGTATATTATGACGACATAGCACAATGCAAAAACATTTATCGATACAAGCTTTTGGAAATTGAAACAAATTGGCAACGGAAAAGGATATCATCTCTGTCCGTGGAATGAATGTTCTATATCTTCAATCTTCGAAACGACATTAATTGCTCTAGTTTCATATAATATTGACAAGTTGGACTCGCGATTTAATCGAATTTACATGTTACAATAACAGCGTTAAAGAGAGTTAACGAGAATATTTTTCTCCGAACGGCACGTAAAATCTCTGAAAAAAAATTATTACTCAATAAAAATATATTATTTATTATTATCCTTTGATAAATAACGAAACATTTTCAAAGACGTTTCCACGCGTGCAAACTTTTAAATTTTTAATTGAGAGTTATAATGTTTTAAATATGTTTTCACAGAGAAAATTGTTTTTTTATTTTTTTATTTGAAATTAATATTTTAATTGCATTTAGACTCTCTAGTTTCTATCATCAACTCGTAATTGCACTCGTGTGATCGTCAAACAAATTCGTAATCGTATTAATACGCTATCGGCGCCTTACTTCCCCCGCACATTCTTTGATATTGTCGCACTTTACATTACATTAGTCACTCGTCATAACTTCAGATTGTAGTTCGAAGACACATTGCCGTACAAATTCCACCTAAGTTTATCGCGACACAATAACGAATGCATTGCGAGTCTGGCCGTGCGCCAAAGTTAAGTATTCTAGTGTTAGTCTCTCTCCAAGTTTGCCAACTTCTTGGCAACGCTCGAGCGAGCCTAAGAAGAAAGTAGATCGCTACTCTTTCACCGACAGGCGAGCAAAGACGTGCAGTTTTTTTTTTCAAGGACGAACAATTTTCTCGCAGACGCGGACATTCTCTACGATGCACTGAGACGCGTGAACATCGATTTCCTCACCGCCGGCGACAAGGTGGCGCAATTTCTGACGGAAAATCTTAAGGCAAAAGTCGCGCTGCTGAACAAAGCGTTGAACAAAGACGACTCCAAGACAGCTCTTAGCATGAAGGACGAGCATCCGGAGTGGTTCGAAAATTTAGAAACTAATTGCACAACCAAGGTAAGTTCTGTAAGATGAGATTCCATCCTGTAATAACACATGTACGGCGCGCGCGTTGTTCCACAGAAAACAAAAACTTTAGAGAGTTTTAATCCTCCAGCTTTCGGCAAAGAGCTAGCTGTGGAGCTGTACCGCTTTACAGCTCTGCGAAATGCGAATTAACGATATTAGTAAAAAATGTGAAAACATATAAAAACGTTCCAGTGTTGTAAACAACGTTAAGATTTTCAATGCGAGATAGAAAGCCGCTACAGGCACGTAGTGTTTAAAAGGACTGAAATTTCAGTCCTTTTAAATTTTTATTTTAGATTTATTTTTATTTTATTTTATTTTTATATTTTATTTTAATTTTTTTATTTTATAACATCCTATATATGTATATATATAGGGTAATATAATTTAATAATATATAATATTTATTATTATTTAATAATTATATGTGTAATAATATCTGCTGTAATATTCTCTTTGGTCGGTATATATTTTGACAGATTGCACTTCGTTCACAGGAAGCGTATATGCATCGCAGATGTCAGGACAGGATACGGACTTATCTGTACAAAACTATAGAGCAGATCAAGAGCTCAGACGTGTACATAAACGACCGTAAGGCGAGGGAGCAACTTTTGTGCGCAATAGAATTCTTCAAACTTCAGCTCAGAGAGGATCACTACTTCGGATATTACTTCGACAGAAGTAGAGCAAAGCGTGACTCGAAGGATGACAGTGACGAGACCGATTCTAGCTTTCAGTGTTACGAGCATTGTCCGTGCAACTTCGGTCATATCAGCGACGAAACATATCTCCGTCAGCGATATCTCCGTCTTCCCGAATCGTCGGATACAAATGCGACCACCGATCCCGCTACGATCGACGAAACGGACGCGAGAAAGCTGAAGGAATCCGAGAAAACGGAAGAAGAAACGGCGAACAACGAAAAGCCGAAAAGTTGTCCTTATCACGTGAAACCGCGAAGAAAGCAAATTGCCATTTGCGATAAGAAAGGCGAGTTCAAATGCGCGGGACGGTGGAACACGAATGGCTGCGCTTACGGTGACAAACACAAAATTAATCCGTACAGATCCAAAGAGGAACTCGCCTTATTTTCGACCTGGAATTTGGATCACAAGTAAGACAACACGTTTAGCAATTTTTCATAAAATTACATATTACTAGAAAAATATTATTTTTTTTTTTTTTTTATAAGTTGTAATAAGTTTTCAAGTTAGAAAACTAAGAAAATTTAAAAGTTCGATTTTTCTTTTACTTTTTGATAATTATTAAATACACACATAACTTCTTGTGAAAACTGGTAATCCAATTATTATTTTTTGCAGAATCGAAAGGTCCAGAACGCTAGTTCCGCTGATACTGAAGATCTCACGACAGGACACGATCAATGAACAGGACATCTACGACTGTTACGACAATCTGTTTACCGTGAAGAATTTAAGACTAGTTCATATCGTGTGTCACGATAAAGGATCGCACAAATAAGTGTCAGTTTTAGAATTACGCTTATCTTAAAAAGTGTGATTGATTATATGAGAAAGAATTTAAAAACACAAAAGAATAATGTCTAGAATTATAATTATTATACACAATACGCGTGTGTCGAGCCATCTTTTCATATACAGATCTCTACAAAAAAAGAAGTGTGTGTTTATTATATTTAAATGTGTTGTTGATATAGAATATAGATTTAGTAATTGTTAACGTATTATACTATATCGGATACGCTTCCGTTACGGCACAAAATACTAAGCAATAATAAGTAACTAACAAATAATCGCGACGGAAAATTGTAGAAGTATTAAGAAAAATCATTATTTCTTAAACAAATAATATTTTAATTGCACGTTAATTGCAAATTGGATGTTTACTTTCTGATAATTTATCTTAATGCGATAAAAGAAAATGGTCCAATGTTAAAGAACATAGATATTTAAAAAAATTCTAATATATGTACTCTTTCTCCTTTGAGTATACAATTCATACTTTTAATAGAGTGATGTCATCTTCATTATACATAATTCTTGATTGAAAAATATTATGACATGATCGATAATTTATCTCTTATTATGATTTTTTTTTCATTTCTTACATATTTTGCTATAAAAAAGAATATTTAATGACTTCCTTATTTCTAAGATACCGTTTGCGTAGATCAATTATTAATGCAGAGTTGCGTAAGTCACATTCGATCTGAAGAATCTTAATTTATGCAAAGATTGCTGAGAACTACTAGCCGTTTATATAGTAGTACGTATGTGCAACATATGTTGATGAGCATTGGGCAGCATCTTCAATGCTGTAGATAAGATCTAAGGAGCGATAGCTCTCTCTATTATGTCAGATCGGAAAAGTAGCTTAAGTAGTAACTCACTTCAAAAACTGAATCAAGTCGGGAACTAAGGTTATCTTATCAGATTTTGACGTGGAGATCACTATCGCTTCTCTTTTTTTTTTTTTTTTTTCGTGTTGCGAACAGTGTGCGACGCCGTAGGGTATCTTTCGAACATACTTTTATTCCGACTGCTCGATAAGAGGAAACAAAGTTCTGATATATACATGTATATGTACAATACATATATTTAAATATATGTCTATATTTAGAGAAAAAAAAAGATACACACATATATATTATATATACACAGTATTATATTATATATATATACAGTATTATTAGTAAGTACGTAGGAACAAAGCGAGTTCCAAACATTTTCGCGTGCGCGACTTCATTTGTATCGTTTTTTTTTTTTTTTTTTTTTTTTTTTTTTTCATTTTAAAAAAAAATTATTTTTTTCTTCACATAATATTGCAGTCAGAAATTGGAAGAGAACCGGATAACTGTTTCTCA